GTCAGGGGCAGAGGTTCCCAGGGCAGTCAGGGGACAGAGAGAAGGGGTGGTTGGATGGGGCAGGGGTCCCGGGGGCCATCAGGAATGAGAGAAGGGGTTGGATGGGACAGTGGGGGGCAGTCAGGGACAGGGGTTCTGGGGGCGGTCAGGGGACAGGGAGTGGGGGGGGCAGATGGGGCAGGGGTTCTGGGGGGCGGGCACGTCAGGGAACAGGGAGGTTGGATGGGGCAGAAGTCCCGGGGGGGTGGAGTGGATAAGGTGTGGGGGCTGGGCCATGACCCCCTCCCCTAACCGGCCTTCCATACAATTTCCTAAACCCGATGAGGCATTCAGGCCAAAAAGTTTGCCCACCCCTGGCCCAGACAGATGATAAACTCAGTTCATCTCTTCAGAAACATACTTCCCTTCCTTCAGGGTCTAAGGGTTAAATGCTTCACTTACATGGCACAAGGGAAACAATACTGGTTTTAGCAAGCTATTCCAAAGAACTTACAAGTCTTTTTAAGTGTCAGGCATGAATATGCCACAACACAAGGAAAGCTCTAAGCCATAAGGTACGCCATTTTCTGAAAGCAGTAAATAGTAAAACTGTCTTCACTTCAAAGTAAGAAGCATACCTCCCACTTGGATGTAATGCTAAAAGCTTGCCAAGGCCAGCATTCTGAAAAAATCATGGTATTGCAACTGATTATTCAGAGTCTGTAAATTAATGCAACACATTCTCACCCCACCCACTCAAGCCAAATGACTTGCATTTCACGGTATCATTTGTAGCAGCTAACACACATTGCATGGTTCTCCAGCCTGCCAGTGCTACCCATTAATCCAGCTCAATGGCAAAAGGTCTCACTGATTTTCTCCTTGCCTGGTTCTTAAATCTTTACCGACGGCAACTAAAAAAAATATGGCTATGAAGAGTCCTTATTCCTTGGACCTACGGACTGAAACAGCCTCCTACGTGCATAAATGTTACAGAAAAGTAAAAACAACTTGATTCATAACTTAAATCAATGGGGCAACACTTAAAGGCAACCCTTCCTGGCAGCCATGGAACAGAGAAACAATATGCTGTGCAGTGTCGGGTAGCAAGCAGAAGTTCATCTCTGTCTGGTGACACCTTTTATGGGTGGCATTTCTTCAAGTCAAACATTGACCGATAGTAGCCTTCTAAACAAGAGTATGTTGCCATTGGCTGGCAGGTGCCATATCACTGCCCAGGAAAGTGGGACTATCCTCAATATGAAAGTCAGGGCCAGGTATAATTCTGGTGCCCTTGCGATGACTATTTCAAGTTGCGCCACCTCAACCATTTAAAATTTGCTTCTGATATTGTCCACGTTGCTGTGCGCATAAAAAGCTACGTTAAAGGAACATTATTTAGATGGCAAAGTCAAACCCTTCAATGTTGTTGTTTTTTTTAGAGAAAGAGACCAGTTACTTGGTG